TCCCGCACCAGCCATTTGAATTTCCTCTTCTCATTATTATACTTCCATAAATCATTCTATGGACAACATCCTCCTAAACCTCTCCTTTGTGATGAGTTATCAAGCCAAGGTACCAAAAAAGGTCACATTGAGTTATCCCTTGGTCTCGAATCCTAAGTGTACCCTGATTATGTGTGTGAACATAAAATTACAAGGAATTATAGACATAAAATTCTCTTCAAATTTAGCCATGAACTCACCTTCTGTCCCAGAATTCTATGCACTTTTTGAGAAGCATACTCGGCTGAGATTTCTTCCGCAAATGTAACAAAACCAAATCCTCTATGAGAAGTTTTTCTGTCATCCTGTAGGAAAGGATTAAATGATTAAGCCTGCATGTTGGTGCAATAATGAATGTGATGGTTGAGAATGTATCTATACATAAACCATAAAGATTTATGCAAGAAGATGTTAAACAATCTCTTCAAAATGGCATGTGAATCAAGACTGTCAGAATGAAAGCAGGGCCATTAGTTTGCAGCTATCAGCTACGTACTGTATTATATTACTTAATATTAAAAATGTATTCTTTGTATAATATAATCATGGATATAAATATTTCATAGTAACATGGATGACACACATGAAAAATACATATACGTTCAAAGATAAGCATTTACCTTGGGAAGATAGACATCTAAAACATGGCCAAACTGACTGAAATGCAACCGAATATCAATAGCTGAAGCCTCCATAGGAATTCGTCCAATGAAAAGCTTCTTTCCCCACCTAGCAGTTGAACTAGTTGATGGCTGGATACAACTCTCATTTTCAGTTGCAGCCCCAACAACCAATTCAGAGGGAGGCGAGCTTTGTTTAACTCCAGTTGATGGATCTTGATTCACAAAAATCGACCCAGTCCCATGCATTCGATCTGTAGGAGATGCAAAGTCCACAGCAATCTGCATTCTCTAGAATTGGTCAGTTTTAAAATATAAAGAATTTCTTCACAATCAGAACTTGCCAGATGAGGAACTAGAGAGAATATGCATGAAAGTTAAACAGACCCTAAGAGTTCCAAGAAATAGGTTTTTAATTGATTCTCAACAAATTTATCAAACACATCATGAAAGAAGCATGCCAAAGAGTAAGCATCAATAATAGATTGAAAAATGTCAATCATATTTTTTAATCTTTGTAATAACGAGCTGCATGCTAATCCAATCAGATATGGCACAGTCATTGACAATTGTTTCAATTTAAAGTCACCAGACACCAATTCCTCAAATAAACTAATCATTAACCACTAACTATCATAAATTTCTTTAGCATTTTAGGATCTGAAGTTCCTATGCATGTTAACTGATAAATAGCAAAGGACACCATTTCTAATCATTTGACATGAGATTGGAGTTTAGATTTAAGTTGTTTTGATGGTTCTTCAGGGTTTAAATTTCAACTGGTTTATCCTGAAACAAGTGATCATTAAAAGTTAGTTGGAAGAGATGACTGAAAATCAGATGAAAATGATGGCATCATTCATCACTCATCTCATCACCTACACCTCATTTCAAAGAGATTGCAAATTTCAGAGATGTACTGAATCCGTAGATCTATTGCCATTAGTATGGAAAGGCCCTTGATGAATGGGAGGGGATTTCAACATTATTCAGTTTGAGGAGGAACCAAACAGTATCAGCATGTCTATTGCCATTAGTAAGAGAAGTTTTATCTTCTCATCAATACCTGCAAGCTTATAGGATTCCCCTACTTTGATGTGGAATGGGTAGTAGTTGCACAATAGATTGATATTTGCCAGCTAATATCTATGGACATATTGATATTTAAGAGAGCTAACAACTTCAGCAGCACACAAGTGAAAGTTTTCACTGAAGGGGAAAAAACTAACTTTAAGTTGACTTGCTATTCTTTTTTTTTTTTCTGATAGCAAATAGAAAATTTCATTATAAACGAAAAAGGAGATAAAAGAATAGGTAATAAGACATCACCATAAAGAAAGAACAACCAATGACAAAACCAAAATCGAAGACTTTCATTAATGTTGTTTATGTAGTGTATTTGTTCAGTTTTGTGTCCTAGGGGCAATCTGGTCTTTTTCTCTTCTTTATGTTCACCCTAATATAATAATATGAGGGGTTTCTGCCCACTCACTTTTCTTCTCTTATCACTTTTTTCCTCTCTTGATCTGAATCAGAAAACAATTAAAATTCAAAGCAACCACCCCAAGCCCAAAACTTGTCTCAACATCTTTTGAAATGGAATAGTAAGAGAAGAATGTCAAGTTACCTGTCATGTGATTTAAGGTCCTAGAGTTTATGGTCCAAGGGTTAGGCAGAGTGGGATGAGGTAGCATGATGAGCAAAGTGTTAGACAATGTATGCCCTTAACTCCTATCAGCATGATGTACACTATGACATTTATTGCAAATGAATAAAGTACATATTTGATTCATGTTATTATGGTGTGTTTCTGTGTAATACCCTTAAACTGGACACATATGAGACTCGTGTCAGTTTACAATCTTCACAGCCGTTGGATAGATCTGTGGAGATTTATCCTGCCAAGGTTGACACTGATGTACCACCAAGTTGGTTGGGGTGGCTTGTCTCAGCTGCCAGTGTGGGTTTTCTTGAAACCCTGAACCGGACCAAAATTCTAGTATTGCCCTGGACCTTGGAGATAGATGCACAAAACTGGAATGTTACACCTGACCCCTAGACTCGATTATGATACTGCACTAGGTGTCGGATTGGCTGTCTTTGATATGCCAATCAGTGAGATCCTTAGAGCGGGTCAAACCTGGGTATGTTGGGACAGTCCAAGAATTCATCTAAGTGGGTGATCATAGTGACAGGATCAGCCCCTTTGTCGGACAAAGTGAATGATCGAGGATGCACTCTCTCTGATGGAAACCTAAACAACCGGCAGTTGATTTCAACCGTTGAAATTTGTTTTTGCAAAAAATATTTATATAAAGATATACATACATATATATATATATTATGGTTTCAAAATGTTTGCAAAAGGTTTTAATTCCCGAGATCCATGTGAGTAGAGAGTGCAGCACTACACCTTGCAGCCGAGGGAGAGGTCCTCTCTTGTCGGACAGTGTTTGATCATTATGGGCTGAGAGGTTAAGTGTAAGACCATTGAGGGTTATACCTGATGAGCTAATCATGTATCTGCCCACAGTCCTTGGGCCTTCATAAGATGGCTGGACCCAAGGACCATTTAGTGTAAATGTTGGGCCCATTAAGAGCCCAGAGTGATGGACTCAGGGGTTCACTGTATTCAGCAGTGAATTCGGCTAGGCCTTGTAACAGAGGCTAGGCTGAACCCATGTGGCTGATGTGTAGATCAATGATWGGRTCCCACRCCATACAAAGAGAGCCAAGCTAGCCAGCATTAAAGTGGAAGTGAGCCTGAAAGCTTAATGGGCCTAAAAGCCCATTTCGAACTAGGTTAATTAGATTAATTAAATAGGGGTGGATCTGGGATTTGGATCAGCAGATAAGATAAGGGATTATCCTTATCCACTTAAAGAGTCCAGATCCAAATAAATATTTGGTTCAAAGGAACTCCTAATTTGATTAGGAAGGCTGATCTTTATCTGCAGATAAGATAAGGGATTATTCTTATCACTTAAAGAGTCCATATCCAAATAAAAGATTTGGATCGGGAAACTCCTAATGAAATTAGGAAATTGTCTCTTTAAGGCTATAAATAAGAGAGTAGGGCGAACCTTCAAAACAGACTCACTGAATATAGAGAGAAGACAACACAGTTAGACTGATCTTGCCTTTTGCTCTTTTTCTTCCTGCTCTTGCCGCCCTACCCTGTTCGATTTCCAATTCTTGGATTGGATCAACATTCGATCTTGATATTGTTTCTTGCCAGAAGGAACAATTTAGAAGATGTGTTCACTATCCCATTCGATTCTTGCTGAAGAATCACTAGTTCTTGGTGAAGAACTACCTATTGATCCTGCCTCATCCTAAGTTGTGCCATCTTCAATGGAGGGAGGATTTGGTACACTCTTTGAGCGTGAACACCTACGTTGGGAGGAGCATTCTTGCGTGGATTCCGTATCAGGTACATCCCTCCCTTAATTTGGTTTCAGATTTGGTCCGTTTTGGTGACAAGAACGAACCTTGAAAATGCAGTTTTCTAAATTGGGAATAGGATTCCCGGATGGGAGTAAAGAAATTTTTGAAATTTTGCCCAATCTTCCTGCAGGGTTCGGCCATCCAGCTGATGGATCTCCCATCCCTTCACAAAGTAAATACCTGAATGAGAAAACTAGGTGGACAGGACACAATTGCAACCTTGTCAATTTTGGGTAGCAGTCCATGGAATTTCTCCAACTCCTCTGAATAGATGGTTACTCTCTCATTAGAGAATGAAGATAGAGCAATGGGGGCACACTGATTCGTGGATTCACTTGAGGTATCTTCTCTATTGGCATTATTTGCTCTCTTCTTCTGCTTTCTTCCAGCCATGAAGATCCCAATGTATACTCTTACTATGACTTTTCTGCCACAGTGATGACATTCTACTTATTAACTGCCACTTCTTTGTTGAATTTTTGACTTTTAACAGATGTGATGTGCAATTCTCTTGCGTGACTATTTTTCTATTCTTGGAATGATAAACATGAGAATGCATGCTTGAGTCTTCTAGCAGCCATTTTCTGAAAGAAAAATCTGAAGGTTAGGTCCACATCCAAGCCACCCCACCCAGGACTATGGATATTTGGGACCAAGTAAGTGGATCATAGTGATTAGATCCTTCCCTCAATGAGAGCAGATTGTGGCAATTTTTTTCGAAGTAAAGTAATTTGTATTATGAAAAAAATAAGCAAGTAACTGATGTACAACAAGAATCTGTACACCCGACTACAATACTAGCTAAGAGCCCGCAAAAAACTCTATAGACAAAAAGGAATAGCCTATCTCTACACAAAAACTCCATGGATGGAGAGACAGTCCCTCAAAAAAAATAAAAAGAAGAGTTTATCACAGCCCCCATAACTTTTGTTAGCGTCAAACACAGACATTCCTCTCTAGCCATATAACCCAGATGAACGCTAGAGGAATCAAAGACCACCATACAATCCTTCCTTTCTTGATGGATACCCTTTCAGCAACATAGGTCCATTAGAGATTGGAAGTGTTCAAGAAAACACCAATGCTGCAACCACTGAATATCTCTATACATCAAATGCAATGTATTTATAGTTATGGATAAAAAAGATGTTTAGAGGGGTTGTATTCTACAAGTAACTTTTTCCCCTTTTTCCTTTTATGTAAAAAATGAAGATCAACAAGATATTGCTGACCCAAAATTTGATGGCTATCACTGTTTTATCTACTAGTTGTTCTTTAGATGATTAATAGATACCATGAACATATGAAAAGAAAAAATAAGAGTTTCCTAAACTCGTCTGGCCTTTCCTTGTGTGGCTTTCAAAATTCAAACCCCAAGTTTTAGTTCACAACACAGAAGCACTTCAATACAGTAGCAAATTTTGGCTATCTGAACTTTGAATTCTTCATCTATTACTACTATAGAAGTGAAGTAACCCTCCTAGAATCTTGGTGAGGCTCAATCCATTTTCTTATACCATCAGTTACCTTTACTCAAAGGAGATAATGAGGATTTTTATATAAGTTCAAAAGATGATTGAAGCCAGATAACCAAAAGATAGCTAAGCTATTTACAATACCATGTTCTATGGCTCTACTTTTCTTCCCCCCTTCCCCACCAAAAAAAAAACTTCTGATTTGATTTCAAGTACTTATTGCATGTGCAGTGCTGCACATGACACCTTCTATTAAATTCTAAAACATTGATGTTCTGCTAATCTAATTGGTATTTAACATTCAACTTCAAGTAAGATTAGGGGTGCAAATGGATCGGATAATGATCGGATCCAATCCGAGATCTGATCATATTTGATTGAATTCAGATCACCCCCCTATCCAATCCGAGAAGATCCGATCTGATATATATATTATATACTTATATAAATATAAATATATAATACATATAAATATGTTATTTATTTATTTATAAATAGATTTTTTATATTATATTTCTATAAACTTGTTATATTATTTATTTTTTATAAAAAACATGTATATATATGATGAAAATAATTAAAAAATACTTGTATTTTTGTTTATACTTTATTTAAATTAGTATATTTTATTTATCTTTTAATAATTTATTAATTTTTAAAGAAAACAAGTTGGATTGGATGAGATCCGAAGATCCGACTTACCGATAGGATTCGAATTCAAATCGAGTCCTATCAGTTCGGATCGGATCCAACATGAACAGTGTTGGATCGGATTCAAATATACCCTCATTTGAGTCCAATCCAATCCATTTGCATCCCTAAGTAAGATTACCAAGGAGAATAACAATTCCAAAACAAAATGAATTGTTCATATGATATAAAAAAATATATATTAAAAATAAAAGAAAATTAGAGACCTCTCGACCATGAATGAAATGTCTAAGCCGAGAAACACGTGTAGCTGAGGCTTCATCTGCAAACGTTACAAATGCAAACCCTCTATGAGAAATTCTCTTTGCATCCTGTTTACCAAGACAAAATTTGGAATGAAATGGTAAATATTAGCTGAGATTTCCACATTCTTCTATCTTGACAAAGGATTGGTAACATAAATCGTCAAGGAAAGATAGCAAATGAGGCCTTTAGAAGAGAAGCAACGTACTATACCTTTGGCAAGTAAACATCAACAACCCATCCAAACTGGCTAAAATATGCTTGCAGATCTTCAGCTGTAGCTTCCACAGGGACACGACCTATGAACATCTTTTTTTCTGCTCTTATTGTGGCACCTTCAGCAATTTGTACAGTACTGCTCCCTATTGAAATGATACCTCCTGCAATTGATGCACATCCTGAGCTAGTGTTGTCTTTGACAGAGTGGAAAACAGATGGCAATAATTTGTCCGCTTGGAGTTCATTTGTTGCTGTTCTTGAACAGCCATCAGTTTTATAACCAACTATATTTGATGTTCTAGAATCATGTGTTGCCTTAAGATAGTGACTTGAAACCCTGTATCCTCTGGAATCCTCCTGTAAGAAAAGCCAAGGAATACGAGATAAGTTTGAGAGAATTTCTAAACAGTATATTGTACAAGAATCAATTTAAGTGGAGAAAACCCCATACAAGGGTAAATAATTGAATCTATACAATGTGGGTATAAAAATTAAGCCAATGATATTCACAACGAAACAATTAACCTACCCAACCTCTTTAAAATTCCTACTCATTTTTGGCCAAGAATAGTATAACTTAAGAATTAGTTAAGATACAGTATGACAAGCAGCTTTCTAGCATCATTTTCTAAAATGACAGATATATTAATATTAGAAGTGGGCTTGGCTTTGCTCAGATCCTCTTCCTCCATTCCACTCTAGCTATGGTCACATATTTTATTAAACATTTTGCAATGTAAGAAGTACAGTTCAAATCAAATGAAAGCATACCTTGGGAGTTGCTCGATCAATGGCAATTCTAGAACCTCCAAGTTCATGAGTCTCTGATATAAGATGGTCTACTGAATCTGCAAACAATTGTCAATCAACTTGTGAGAAAGCTATTAAAAATTACACCATTCGTGGAAGGGTGATAAATTTCTTAAGAACTAATCAGTTAACACCCTTGCTCTTATTGTGTTGAATTAGAATTGTGATGAATGTTGTGCAGCTACTGGGAGTGTTTCAAGTTTACATTGAAGAAGCCAGATACTTCTTCACCACTGTTTTGTAGTATGGAGTAAAACGGGCAATGTGTACTGCTAGTGGACATAGCTTTTGTAAGGCATAATACTTGTTTATGATAAATAAAAAACAAATCTATAATTTGTTGAAGATCAAAGATCAAGAGAGAAGAGCATCAAAAGAAGAGAAAAAGAAGGAAAAGAGAGTAGGCAAGAAGAATGCAGGAGGAACTGTCTTGGGGATCTTGCACTTCCCACTTATCCATTTATATAAAATGTCGAAAATAACAAGTATACCCTTATACACAACAAATATCGCAATCATCCCTCTGAAATTGAGTATAGATATTAATCATGTTCGGCTTGCTTACATCAATCTCGAACTTAGACATGATAACCCCTTTGGTGGATACATTAGCTAGTTAACGTTCTAAAGCCAGAAAAGGAACACACTTCTCTAAAGGTTAAATATTCATGCCCAGCTTGCTTACTTCACTCTCCAACTTAGATGCACTTCTCTAAGGACAAGTACGAGTTCATGTCACGCAAAGGCTTGCTCAGAACACGTACCAAGCCAGAAAGATATGCCGAACTAACAGGTTTTATCCTCAATAAATTCGTAAATTTCCGGCAGGATTTTGATGCCCCAATTATTGACCATAAATCCCAGAAACTTGCCTGTCCGTACCACAAAGGCAGATTTCATGGGGTTCATCTTTAAGTTAAACTCCCACATCTTTTGAAGACTCAAGTCAGGCTGCTGCTGCTGGACTAACAGAATCTTCTTATGCTGACTGCTGCTCCTGGAACTGCTTGTGCAGCTCCAAAAAGCTAAGCCTACTTCAAAATTTACTTTCAACAACGTCAACAACAACACGAAAAAAGTATGCTTATCCAAGGACACCCATGCTTTATATAAGAAGAATATTTTTTAGCTCATTTGCCAGACCACACTCTTGACCTCCGGTTGAGCTATGAGAATGAGTAGGTAGGCGGCCGGGGTGGGCTTTCAGTCTTTAACAGTCATTGCAAAAGTCAATTCAAGGTTTCCATTTTTTAGTCATTCCATTCTGTTAATGTCGAGTATGTAGGGGTAATTTTGTCTTTATGCTTGTGTTTAGGTGTTGATGTGTAAGTTTATGTTGACTTAATGTCCCTAACTTAAGTAGGGGCATATGTGACTTTTCCACATTATTTTAGTAATATAAAATACATCTGGCCGAATGGGAGAGTGAACTTTTTCCTCTCATTCAAACCAGAATCTTTTCTCCTTGTTTCTCTTCTACTCTTCTCCTTTCTCTCTTTCTCTCCTCTCTTCTCTCTCTCTTCCTTGACTGTTATCAGTCTAACAGGCAGACCGAACACTAA